TTCTAAGTACCCAAACGTCTGAGTTATTTAAATCCAAGTAGAAAATTGTATCAAAATTCCTTCCAGTGATTGAATCCTATTGTAGTTTGGGTACATGCAACATGTATAGATCTTAGAATATGTTCCTGCCTTTTGATAGTTTTACTGTTAATAGCTGTCTAAAAATACCTCTCTGAAAATCATATTTTAAGTACATTATTTTTACACTTAAAACTGTTTTTAAAGGGGTGTGATAAACTGGAAAAACACCAATCCAATGCCAATAATCTATCATAACAGAGAAGGAAATTAAAACCTAACAAGAAACATAGGTCCTACCACATCTTTTTTGCCTGAAAGTAAAATACAACATCATTGTGGGAATTTCACATGCTCTCTACAGCAGTTACATCTTTCCATAGAAATCCTAGATATTACGAATATTTTAGAACACTCACCAGCATTCATCTTACACTCGACATTTGTAACATTGTATTCTGTTGAGACTACAAGCATGCACCATAATAAACAATGCAATATGTACCAAAGCCCAAGGATATCTTAACGTGGTCTTTCAGAAGAGAATAAAAAGCTGATAATGCTGATGCTGACCAGATTAAGTACGAAATAAATACAAATAACACTGGGGGACCGATAATATTGGCTATTTCTCCACATTTCTGGTAAGAAGCTACCTACGCATACATTACCTTTCATCGTCAGTATTATACCTGCCATCTTATAAAATAAAGTTTTAATACATACAGACAGTGAACATCTATAATTCTAAAAAATCCTGGAAAAGTCAAGTAGAATGCTGATATAAATAAAAAGCGAAATATCCTAGATGAATAACAATGACCATTTATGACTCAAAAGTCCATATGAATCTTTTGATGGGCAAGAAAATATATGTGAGTTATATTATATGGGGGGGAGGCTATTTTTGTTGAAAATATATTAATGAATTATTTCCTCGTGTTTTATATAATTCTTAGAAAAAGTTCAAATTAGGTACTCAAAATGATGTTTTAATTATGGGAAGCAATATTCTGAAACTCATACAAGCCATCACATTTGTTTGGAAACAAATGACTTCTCAAGATGGAGAAGTATTTCTATCAATCACCAACAAGTTAATTCTACATAATAAGGCAGGTTTGGATGCAAACTGATCCATTGTGGAATGCTGTATCTAAAATTGATTACAACAGCACTCAAAATGAATGCAGCCCTCCAAACCACTTCTTTGCTCAGAAACATTAATCTCAATTAGAAGGAGAGCTTCATAATGGTAATGCCTGGTATAAAAAAGTATAAAATAAATCAGGTTTTATAAGACACAATAATTAATCAGTTTTCTGATTAAGAAGTTTTTTCTTCTTCGTTTTTTTTTTTTTTGTATTTTGCACAAAATTTTCATCAGGACTTTTAAAACAGCTGATATCTCCAAAATCAGCTTTTAAATGTGTTCTATAAGAAGCTTATATGACATAATTTAAAAAACTTATCTGTTAAAACTTTCAAATGACATGGTATAACTGTGCTATCTTTTCAACACACTTCTTCATTCAAAGTGTGTGCATTAAATTCTTCTCCAGACTATCATTCCACTTTATAAGACAAATATAAAAATAGGCTATAACTGGAAATGCCACAGAATAGATCATTGGTTGCGGATCAGAGCAAAGTTTTCTGGCAAATTATTATACCCCTGCTCACATTCTTAACCTTGATAATTATGTCCTGAAAGGCAAAATGGACATTTGACGACCAAATGAAACATGAGGAAGATAAGCAACGTGTAACTGAACATGCTTAACAGGTTTCTACAACACAGCTTCCGGAAAAGGGCAGACAATTCATTATTGCAGCTTAATACACAGACTGACATAAGTAGAATACCCGGATGACCTTCTGCAACCATCCAGAAATTTGAAAAAAAAAAAAAAAAAAGTAAAAAGTAAAATAAAGTTTAACAAGAAGGAGGAATATGTATTTAGTAAAATGATCAATATTAATAAACTAATAAAGTTAGCTTGATGGCACTTTCATGCCAGACTATGATCACGCTCCAGGCTTATTTTCTAATATCACTGTAGGTCGGATAAACTTCAACATTTCTAAGTACCCTTTCACAGCTATTGCAAAAACATCATTTTTTGTACTTCTAGCCCAACATCGATTCGGTATTTCTGACAGGTCACTCTACTAACAATGATAGTCCTACAC